GAAAAATCCCTTCTTAGTGTACATTCTGTTGACGTACTCTATTAAAACGCAATCAAAAACGGAAAAAACTGCATCTAAAATGGTATAAATAGAAGCAGAGTTCTTTACGGTAACCTTTTCCGTAAGGCTTACCGTAAAGAACTGTCCATCCCCCATGTTTAACGAAATAATATATAGCCTATGTCTACCCTGAAGTTCCATTCTAAATATTGGTGAAAGAATTTTTGAAATCGGATGAGTAGTTTCGGAGATTACCTGCTGCATACAAACTAACATACATACATACAAACATTACCTCTTTATAATATTAGTATAAATTTAATACTCTTTTTATTAAAGAATTTTGTATATGAAACTTTCTCAATATTTTTAATTTATTGCTTTACAAAAAATTTTATAAATGCAGTATTATATAATAACTACAAATAATTACAAAGTATAATATTATAGTATATAAGTAATAAAGAAATATATAAAGGGTTATATATAAATTTTTTCCTATATTTGCAAGAAAAATCTTTTAATGACTAAGCATTTTTATAAGATAGAAAAAATAAATTATATTTATATCTTATGAGGAAAAAACTGACCTATTCTGTTTATATCTAATAGTGGTTGTTTGATCCACTGTGATAACAAACGCTGTCCAGGTATAGTTCTACATTTGTTTAACAAACCAAATAAGCTGTAGGACTTATTTTCTAAAAAAGATTAATAATATATAATTAAATAGACATTAAAAACATGTAGATTTATTAATGAAAATATTTATGGTTTACCATCTGATGAAGAAGGAATTAATCCAAGTGCTTTTACAGCTGCAGCATCCAAACGAACAAACTGAGTTAACTCAAATTTGTTTAATGTAAAATGTCCAAAATTATTTTCATCAGATAAAAGCTAGAGAAAAATTAAAAAATGCTAAAGTTAAGCATTTACAAATATATAATTGTTTGAATCCTTTTAGGATTCAAACAATTATATATTTACAAATGATCTTTCTAGATCTTTCTTTTGAATCCTTTTAGGATTCAAAAGAAAGATCTAGGATTCAAGACGGCTTGCAAAGTGGCTACCAAAGTTCAACAGTTTTTAGAATTTAATTTCATCCAAACTGTGATATTTTTAGTCTTAAAAAGTAAACAGAAACTGTTGTATTTTACAGGANACACAACATGGTACTTCTATATCATGGTTTTGTTGTAATGTGGTTTGAAAATTAGGGATATTCCCCATATAACACAACTTCCAGTTTTGCTCTAACATGATTTTGGAAATTCTCCATAATCTTGATAATCCTCCATAAAATTTTGCAACTTTTAAGTGTAAACTCCATTATGCAATATTTTTTTTTATTCAAGCAAGCACATGTCATCTCAGATTTGCCCATGGATTTTAGAACATTGAAATTTTCAATTTGTTTTGTGCCTTTTGNCAGCTTGCATAGTGGCTACCAAAGTTCAACAGTTTTTAGAATTTAACTTCATCCAAACTGTGATATTTTTAGTCTTACAAAGTAAACAGAAACTGTTGTATTTTACAGGATAATATGAAAAATCAAATTCTGAAATAAATTAATCTACTATCTACTAGTATTTAATTTTTATTAACTTCTAAATATCACTTTTGGATAACTGTTATTATGTTCTATGTATGTATATATGGCTCTTTAATCCGGCATTAAGTTCAGTAGACTATCATTACAGCTTTCAGGTTAGACACTTCTTTTATTGTTTCCACATATGCATTTCGGACTTATATAAATGTTAAGCCCCTCTTCAGTGCAATACTATGGTTCTGTCTCCTAAAACCATGGTGTACAACGGATAACATTGGAAAGATTTTAAAATACAGCCATTAAAAACACCTCAAATACATTTTCACCATTAATACAAAAAACTTTTAACATTTGCTCATAAAATCTTATATAAGTACAACTTTTGAAGAATGTGTATGTTCTACAATATAACGTTGCAGTNGGTGTCATTGTTGTTGCTTTCAGACTTTGTAGCCTTAAAACTGTCACTGTGTTTTCTTTTTTAAATTAATCTTCGTATTTAGTAATGCTTATTTAAACATGTTTAAATAAGTGTTATTAAGCTTTTTTAACTGTAAGTAATCATTTGTAAAAATGATTAACAAAATACAGTGCTGTCTTGGTACTCGAACTGTTCCCAAATGGAACAATTCTGTATTTGTGAACAAATTTTGGGGTAGGTCGCTCGGTACTCGACTAAACAAATGCAAACCTGCTAGAACAAATTATTGATTAATAACATATATTTATTTTGTCATCCATAGAAAATTATGATAAAACTAAAAATATGATGATGTTGCTGATATTTCTGAACAAGATCAACAAAGAAGCTCACAAGATGATGATATTTTGTGAAGAGAAAACATGCTCGTTTAACTAAAATTAATATTAACATTACTTTTAATTGTGTTAGTTAATTATTGATTGGAAATACAATATTGATTGCTTTAATAGACATATTTCTCTTAGTAATGAA